AGACAATACAATGGCTTGGCATGATAGCTCACACCTATAATCTCAGTACTTGGAAAGCAGAGTCCAGAGGATTCTAAATTGGCTGCCAACCTGGGCTATATGGCTAGATAAAGCTTATCCAACAACAAAATGATTAAAGGAAGCTTAAATTTATAGATAATAACTTTGACTGTCAGAACATGTAAGTCACCAATCAAAAGACATAGATTTACTGAATGAACAACAACAACAAAAAAGCAAGGCCCAGTTATACAACTATCTATTGGAAACCCACTTCACTGGCAAAGACAAGCAGAGGTTGAAAGTGTTGGAGAAACTTGAGAAATGCAAAGAAACATAAAGTGATGAGGGTTATAATATGATAATAAAGCAATTAGCAGAGTATGCATTAATTATAAATACATATGCACCCAACATTAGACTACACAATACGTAAAGCAGACACTCGTCGACCTAACGGTAGAGATTCAGTGCAATGCGAGTTATTGGAGACTTTAGCATCTGATTTTCATAGTAGGAAAATATTTCAAACAGAAAATCAGCAAGTAAGAATTAGAATTGAACCATACTATAGAATAAAGGGACCTAAACAGGTATTTAAAAAACATTTCAACCAAAAGCAGCAAAATTTACATTTTCTTCATTGGAACACAGAACATTCTCCCGAATAGATAACATGTTAGGTTATAAATCACATACCAATACCTAAAAAAAAAAAAAAAAAAAGGAATCGTATCGTGTATCTTCACAGAGCATGGTGAAATCAATGAAAAGTGTGAAACAAAACAGGAGCCACGTTGTTATTAAGGAGCCATATTATCATATATTATTATTAAGTCTCCATATCTTACAAGAATAAGTTTGTTTCCTAAGCCTAATGTATCCTGCAAACCATGCTTTCAACCTATGCTGAACTTGAGACCCCATGATGTATACCCGCCCCTTTGCCTTGCTAAACTCCTGAGCCAGAAATATGTGATTGCCCTTCTGTCTTATGAAAACGTGTCTTCCCAGGTACCTTGATGATCCTCCTTCCACAGGATGTATTCTTGCACTTATTTTTATTGCCTCCTTTCTAACACTCAGTTATCTCCACAGCTGTTTTCTATCAACCCTTCCCCTTTCCCATAAAAGGCACCTCAAAAGCCTGTGAGGGGTTGCTCTCTGAAATTCCAACGTAGGGTAAAGCAGCTGTCCGGTCAGTCCCTGGGCACCTCTGAATGAAGCTTGCTTAATCAAAAAGCCATGGAAATGTTTTTTTCTCAGGTCTAACATAGATCATATGTTAGGTTACAAATAAAATATCAATAATATTTTAAAAAGGGAATCATGTCATGTCTCTTTGCCAAGCACAATGAAATTAAACTAGAAATCAAAGAAAGGAAGAGCAATAGGTATCACAATCTATGAGATACATCTTTATTAGTTATTTGTTTATAATAATAAACAAATACATTAAAAGTAAATAGAAAATTTTCAAATAGACAAGCTAACAATACAACTCAAAGACTCCAAACTACAAAATAAGATAAAGTTAGTAGGAAACGAACTTCAGAGCAAAAACAGATGAAATCATAAACCAAAAAAGATCAAGTAAATGAGTTCATATTTTGAAAATACAAACAAATTAAGAAATATTTATTTACAGAAAAAGGGAAAAGAGCTAAGTCAGTATAATCAGAACTATAAAAAGGAGACACAAACTGATACCACAAAACTATACAGAATATACTGTGGACAACTATATACAAATAACTGGGACAGCGAAAGGAAACGTTCTGAAAGGGATGACTCTATCATCTATCTATCTATCTATCTATCTATCTATCTATCTATCTATCTATCTATCATCTCTATCTATCTATCATCTATCTATGTATCTATTCGTCCATCCATCCATCCATCCACCCCTCTATCTATCTATCTATCTATCTATCTATCTATCTATCTATCTATCTATCTCTCTCTATCTATCTATCAGTTGGGTTTTTGAGACAGGGTTTCTATCTATCTCTGTCTATCTATCTATCTATCTATCTATCATCTATCTATCTATGTATCTATTCGTCCATCCATCCATCCATCTATCCCTCTATCTATCTATCTATCTATCTATCTATCTATCTATCTATCCATCCATCCATCCATCCATCCATCTATCTATCTATCTATCTATCTATCTATCTATCTATCTATCCATCAGTTGGTTTTTTGAGACAGGGTTTCTCTGTGTAGCCCTGGCTTTCCTGGTACTCACTCTGTAGACCAGGCTAGTCTTGAACTCACAGTTTTACCTGCCCCTGCCTCCTGAGTGCTACAGTCCCAGGGAACTGGAATTACAGATGCTTGTTAGCCATGTGGGTTCTGAGAATCAAATGAGGGGCCTTCTGGAAGAGCAGCCAGTGTGCTTGACCCTTGAACCATCTCTCTACACTCTCCTGCAAATAAGACTTTAAACACACAAAAAATAATTTGTACCAACAATTGAAGAAATGTGAATTAAAATAGGTAGTGCAGACTGGAAAGATAGCTCAACAGTTAAGAACACTGTCTGATCTTGCAGAGGACTGGGGTTTGGTTCCCATCACAATTTGTGTGGCTTACAGATACCTATAACTCCAGCTCCAGGGGACATAATACCCTAACTGATTTCTGTAGGCAATCAGAGGCATTTGCACTGCTCACACACAGACACATACAAATAAACATTAATAAAATGAAATGTGATAAAGGCATCTTTCTGTTTTGAGAATTCTAAACATTAAGTGCTTTTGCTGACGAAGAGCACGAGATGGCGGCAAGCAGTCTGTATACACTAGCACTGTTGAGGCCTCCTTTGGAGGCCAATCCACTAAGGTCTGCCAATCCTTTAGTGTGCTCTCAGGGACTAAATCTGCTCTGCAGGACTGTTGGTGGTAGAAATTCCCTGTGACTTTCTCTTCCCTTTTCCTCAGATTAACAGAAAGCATCTTTATAATCACATTGCCATGGTATTGCTCAGTTGGACCTACAGAGATTTCTCCTGTGCCTTCTCAGTCCGTCTTTGTAAAAGTAGCTATGCCTTGTCACCAGGAGTAGCATCAGTGCTGCTGTGCTGGCTGCCGGCTGAATGTGTTATTATCTACTCTGTATTTTCAGGAAAAGGTGTGCCATGAATTGGTTAAATAAGCCTCTTCTGTTAAACTTCCAACAATCTCCTGTTCCCTTAGCCCCTCTCTTTACATTTTTTTTTGCATATGCATCTTTGCTTGTTGACTGCTGTTGAAATACTACTATTTATTTCTGTGTACAGGTGATACAATTGAGCCAGACATATCATCTTGGTGAAAAAGATCAGATTAGTAGCAACATTTAATGTACTCAATATCCAAATATCATGAAATAGAAAATGTGGAAATTACTGTGTGGTGGGCACCCTTTTCTTTTTCTGTCAGTTGGCAAGCGACATGGAACTTTATGTCCCAGTTTTCATTAACCACTTTGCATTTTCCATACCTCTTCAAGAGGCAAAATAGTTTTCCAAGATATCAGTCCACTTCAGTGTATGTAGCAGAGACAGTAGAGTAAAAGAAACGGATCTTTACAATGTCTCCTGTCTTATGAACATTTGGGAGGGATTTTGTTTGACACACAATGCTCCAGTCTGACTACAAAGGTATGATTACTGATTAAATCAACCTTACATGATAACTTTTACATGCTACTTTATTGTCTAAGTGGAAACTCCAAAGAAATGTCATCAGCAACAAACTCCTGGAACAAAGTAGTAATTTTAAAAAGATTGCAAGATACATGGTTAACATAAATATGTCTGTATGTATATAAATATTGCAATAATAAATGCAATTTGAAATGAAAACCAACATTATTTAGAATCCTGCTAAAGTATGGAATATTTCAGTTAAGTCTACCAATTATGAATGTGATCTGTATGGAGAAGAGTGCAAAACTCTGGTGAAAAAAAAATCAAAGAAAGGCATGGGCAGGTGGTAAGACAACTCACAGTAGTATTTAAGAGACTCTGTCTTAAAGATATGGATTCATAGGTCTTACCAAATAAGATAAGTAGGTGACAATAAGGTATCTTATACATTATAAGGAAGAATTTGACTCACATTTCTAAGAGAAATAATCAAGTTTGAAAGATTGAAAAATGAGCATGATTGCAGCTACTTAACATTCCAGGAAAACCTAGAAAGACAGCTGCCAAGGATTCTGGGAAGGAGAAAAGGATGGGTTGATGGAACATGGGATGGGGGAGGTGAGCACAGTGAACCAAGGCGTGTGATATTGCGCTGATATGGCATTATCTGTCTACCTAAACCCAAAGACCTGCATAAAACACAGAATAAAACCTGAAAACAGTGTATTAGTATTGTTTCATTTTTTTGTGACAAATCCCCTACACAATAATAGTGGAAACTGCAGCGGGGGGGGGGGGGGGAGGAGTACGTGGAAGTTTTCTACTTTTTGCTCAAATGTCCATAATAAAAATCTTGAAGACATAAAATCCATTACTTCAGAAAATAATTTATTCACAGCAAGTGAACATTAGCTTAGAGAAAATTATACTCTATACACAGTAAGATATATGCAACTGTACACCTTGAAATAAAATAGCTGTTTATTACTTTCCATCACTATTTGCAGATGTTATATTATGTTACTTTCTGTCTCCTAATGTGAAACACCTTCCACAATGAACAGGGTAAACAGGAGGCAAGCAAATTCAGGCCATAATGAGTTCTGCTTGTCGGGTAGAAGATGAGAACAGGACCTAAATGGATAATGTGAGACTTTGTGACCAGGAAAGTTTAATTTCTAAAGGACAGAGTAATGCCATGAAGGTGCATAGTTCCTAGTTCATTACATTTTATTCCATACTTACCTCCTTTCTTGTCAAGAATTACAGTGGATATCTAATTATAGAACTGAGTACCAAAATTATATTCACATTTCCAAGTAAGTGAAAAATGTAAGGAAAATGAAAAAGCACGTACCAATTCATCGATGCTGATCATCAGCACACTCTCATATGCTCTACCTTCTTTATCTTTAATGTGGCAGTCAGATGATGTGACAGGCAACAGAACAAGGATCAGGGGAGGAATTCCAAAGATATATCTAAAAGAAACTGAACCCAACAGTTAGTAAGCCCAAGGTAGATATCACAGCATGCTACATGAGGTTGTGTCTGTCTTACAGTGGTAATTAACACCTCCATCTAATAATTTTTAAAATGTATCTTAATTCTGGCATAGCATAGAGAGATCTATAAAAATTAAACTGTATGACAAGGCAGGGCAGCAGTGTGATTTAGGATTAGGTTTGTTGGTGGTATATAGGTTGTATCTACATTTATGCAAAGCAACTAGAACTAAATCAAAGACTTCTGAAAGATATCCAGTAGGGGATGGGGGTGAGCATTTTGCCAGGTGAATTTTTATCAAACATCCTCAAAAGAAAATATATTTACAAGAAAAGAGGTATGTTACAGTTTCTAAAGTCACACATTATTTAAAATATGTGAAAGATGTCATGTGAATGTTTATTCACACAGAAACCATAGTCCTCATGAAGGCCAGGCCAGTCCTTTTCTGGAGGCAGTGATGAGGGGGGGCAACTCTGGTGTTTCTTTGGTGATTCTTTGTTTGTCATGATGAAGCTTAGAGAGTTTTACCTTCCCCAAACTCTGATAATGTTAAATTCTGTTTGAAGACTCTTCTCTGTATTTTATTATTTTGTGTATCTGTTTTACCAAAGACCGAGATTCTGTTCAAGCAGAGCTCTTTTTTAATTCCTTTCATGTTAGGAAAAGCTCAACTCAAGTGATTACTTTCGGTAAGTCTTGCCAGTCAGAGTCAACTGTCCAATCAAAAGGAATGAAATTTTAAATGAAATCACCCAGGGTAAGTAATTAAGATGAAAACCAAAATGATACCTAGAAACATTAAAACCAACCCATTTCTTCATGAGTCTACACGTGTCTTGCTTTTATCTTCCTATGAACTCCATTGTATTAATGATATAATTTGCATTTCACAAATTAACATTATAACATTCCAGTGCTCACCATTTTATGTGTGTCTTCTCTTAGAGTCTAAACAATGTTTCTTTTTTTTTAAGATTTATTTATTTATTATGTACATAGAAGAGGGTGCCAGATCTCATTACAGATGGTTGTGAGCCACCATGTGGGTGCTGGGAATTGAACTCAGGACCTCTGGAAGAGCAGTCGGTGAACTTAACCTCTGAGCCATCTCTCCAGCCCTAAACAATGTTTCTTTAAACCCAAGAAATTGACACTAGCAACAGCCAAAATACTGTATAGGATATCATACAGATGTCATCTATTATATTTTTATCCAATGATATTAAAAAGGCAGAAATATTCACCATAAATTATAATACAAGTAGTCCATGTTTTTACAAATAAAGAAAGTGAACTTGGTAGAAGTTATGGGGTCTCAGAGCCTCAACTGTAGATAAAGAACAAGAGGCAACTAAGGCATGCTAAGCACAGTGAGAAGCCCTCCCCACCAAATTGGTTATCCATTACCAAGTCATTAGACCTGAAATCTTTTATATATATCCTTATACAGAACAAGCAGGTTATATTTATGTATTTGTGAATATCTCTCTCCCCCATTTCTCTCCCTCTCTCTCCTCCTCTTCCCCCTATTTGCATGTATGTGTATGAAATAACAAAGAAAAGAAGGCCATCAGTTTGAAGGAGAGTAATGGGGGAAAATAGGAGAAGTTGGAGGGTAGAAAGGGAAGAAGGGAAATGATAAAATACTATTTTAATGTCAAAACCTCATATAATGTAAAGATTTGTCACTGTGATTGTTTTAATAAAGAAGATGACTGTCCAATAGCTGAACAGGATAAAGTTAGGCAGGAGAGCCACACTGAGAAGGAAGAGAAAAAGAAAGGCAGAGTCAAGAGGATCACCAACCAGATGCAGAATAAGTCAGACACACAAAATGGGATAGAGGTAAAAGTCACAAGCCTCAGGACAGCACATAGTTTAACAGAAGTGGGTTAAGTTGTAAGAGCTAGTTAGTAACAAGCCTGAGCTATTGGCCGAGCATTTACAATTAATATTAAGCCTCAGTGTATTTATTTGAGAGCTGTTGGCAGGACAGAAACTTCTGCCAACACCATAATTCATAGCTTCCCATCTCTATATAAAACTAATACTTGATACATTCAGAGAACAATCCAGGAGTGGGCATAAAATTTATTCAAAACTCTCCACTAAATAATTCATTTCAGATCAAAGATTATGATCTTAGCTGCTTTTAATTGCACTACTGAGCCAGGGACTGTTTGGTAAATCTATCTATCTATCTATCTATCTATCTATCTATCTATCTATCTATCTATCTATCATCTACCATCTTATGTATCTATTATTGAAGATTATTTATTTATGTATAGATATAAGTATATGCTACATATTTTATTATATATATAAAGAAAGAGAGAACTTCAAGTTAGCCTACAGTTTGTAGCACACAAACAACAAGTACTAAGATTAGATGTTAACCTGAGTCTTCTATCTCATTGGGATTTGATTTTAATATGCCCACAGTCACTTGATAACATATTTCACACTGGTATTTTGATTGAAAGCCACTTCCTTACAATATCATTTATCTAGCCCTCTCCTATTACCATTCTTTCACCCAGGATACACACTCATCAATTATTAACACGTTTTATCATAGCTACATAAATTTTTATAGCAATATGCTTTTGATTTCATCTTTGGCCTTACAGGTCTCCAAAACTTGAGCTTTTGAGAGGAGTAGACAGAGGAAAGAGATGGCGGATGTGACATGAATTCAAAGAAGAATGTGATGAAGTCATTAGTGAAGAGATTAATTTGCATCTCTATATAAATGTTATTACAAATGTCCATTTTCTGTGTTTTAATAAGTTATTTTATTTTATAAGATTAAAGTTTTCCTCTTCATTTCAATAATACGTGCTTCCCAGATTCATATAACTTACAATTCACTGGACAGCATTTTGTCAATGGTTTGCAACATTAGTTTGGTGGAATATTCTTTGCATATGTGTACTATGTGAAAATTTCAATTCTAAAACTATTCTTAAAATACAGTTCTTTGTCTGTAGACCCTTGAAATTAAGCAAGGTAGCTACTGACAGACCAGGATAATACAACACAGAGAGAGTTTAGAATATAGAGAATTGGGGATCTTGTCTTGATCTGACAGTGGGCTATGTGACTCACAACAGCTGAAATTTATTTAAACTTCTTGTACCTTATCTCTAAAATTAAAACTTTCCATGACCTCTTAATGTAGCTCTTTTCTCTCTCATCTCTCAAACACTTTAACTTTTAAGATTCTATTTTATCATCCAAATAGAGGAAGCCTTCATATTTAAATTGCCTCAAGCATAATTCCATAAATACACCAGGGTCCAAGATATCTCATAGGTTCTTGGCTCTACCATCAACAGTGTGTTCTTTTTTTCTGTAATTTCAGTGTGTATTCCACATACATGCACAGTAACAAATGAAGATTTTTCTGACTTGAGGGTGTCTCTAATGCTGTTGTTTCAATGGGAAAGGAATTCAATATTTGCCATATTTTGCTTCTTTTTGTTTCATAGCACACTCCCAAGCCTCCCCTGAACTTTTCATTAGGTCACAGATAAGAAAACTGTAGGAACAATACAAGACATGTGTTGGCATGTAGGGTTGTCTTTAAATCTCCCGAAGGGTTTGAAACTGGAGAATTTGTTTTCAGTAGGGAATTTGGTTAAACCAGAATGATAGCTGTCGAAAAATTCTTGTTGGTTTTTAATGTCAGCCAAATAATACATTCAATCTTCAGCTGTTTAAGTTATGAGGTCAAAGTGAACATAAATAAGTTGACTTCTTCAGTCCATCATATCCAGTCATTTATTAGTTTCTTTGTTTCTTTTAGTTTTTGAAATTACAAAATAATTTTATTTCTCCCATCCATTTCATCTCCCAAACCCTCCTATATAACTTTCCTTACTCTATTTCAAATTACGGCCTCTTTTCTCATTGTTGGTATATGTGTTTGTGTGTGTGTTTGTGTGTGTGTGTGTGTGTGTGTGTGTGTGTGTGTGTGTGTGTGTATATATATATATATATTCCTAAATTCATAAACACAACCTGCTCAGTCTGTATAATCTTAGGTATATGTATGTTGTCCGAGCTGACCATTTGGATAACCAATTGGAGTGCTCTTCCCTGGGGAAGACTATTTCTCCCACACTCAGCATTTCTTAGTTGCCTGTAATCCTTTGTCTAAGGTTGAGGCCTTGGGGGCTTTTCCCATCCACATTAAGAAGTGTTCATTGAATGTCTTTTCATAAATCTATTTCAACAGAGAATTCAATTCTATAGCCACTTCATGATGTTCATGCATACAAGTAAGTCATTCACATTTTACAGTGGAGAATCTGGAGCCCAAAGAACAATTCTCCAAAATAGTGTTTCTAGGAGAAGCCAGGACCCACATCTGACATGCTCAAGTTGACTTGTCCAGGAGTTCAGCTTTTAGCTACTCAACTACACTTCCTATAATGGTAACTGCATGTATAGTCAAAAGAAAAAAAAATCATTGTCTTCCATGAACTTCCCCAAGGCACTTCCTGGCCAAGCTCTGAAACTACAGCATCTGCTCCTATTTCAAGGGAAAAAAGTAAATTTTTGAATATATTATAAAGTTATTTGTCAAGAGTCAGGATAAAAACACTTTATAACCATGGGCCATGCAATTTGGTTTTATGAAAGAACTTTCCATTTTTTGATTAAGATGTACACACACTGATATGAAATTTCTAATTCTCCTTTAGAGCTCTTCCGGTTTCCTACTCATTCTTAATTCTCCGTGTTTCTCATTAGTTCACTTTATTGGTATGCATGTATAATAAAATTCTTAAATGAGGAAGCACAACGGAAGGTCAGCTAGGGAATCGCCACTTACTTACTGTCCCAAATAACGGGGTGGAAACAGGAATAGCACAGTATACAGTCTTGATGGAGCTTAAGCTTCTAGTGAATGTATTTTGGAACAAAAATGAAGAAAGCCACTCATTTTAACTCTCGAGTTTAACATTTTCATGCTCTGTTTACTAACACCTTATGATGCATAACTAACACGGACAAGAAATTAAGCCTCTGTATTTAAATTACACACCTTTGCCTTCTTTTGTCTTTTTGTGTCGCCAGACCATAGGTAAATCGAGGATTAAAGTCAGGAATGAAGCAGAAAGAAGCAAGTTCAGAACCAAGGGCATTCATTGCAAAGGAGACAGGGATGCACCCTTTCTCCTTAAAATTAAACTCCCTTACAGAGAGGACTTTCATGTTTCCTTGGATAGTCTCTCATGTCCCCACGTCCCTTATTTGGTTTCTGACAAGTACTCCATTATGCCGGTTCTTGGTTCTCTGGTGCCAAAGAGATGGAAAATGATTGGACCTAAAGGAGTGGCCAGGAAAGCAATAACAGAGGTTCCCAAGGAAGAGCATGGGGAAGGCTCCCTGCTCCTGCACCCCGCAGGTTCTCTTGCTGGAGGAAGTATTTACTGTGTATTTCCTCAAGTAGATCCTCTCTCCTCACACTCCATTCTGTTCTCCTCTAAGCTCTTACAGCATTTGTTTATTTATTTATTTTAGTTCTAGCTGCAAGTGAATTCCAGCCACTGTCAATTCTGTTCTTGCCCATTTTTAAGACCTTATTTCAAGCAAAAACAAACCTATTAGATTTGATGGGGGTGGGGGCTAAGAATTTGTATTCACGGGTACTTATAGTTCTATCTCCCTTTTGTAGCAAATATGTAGAAGGGGGAAGAAAATCTGGCATTTTGCAATTCCAGCCCCAGGACTTGGGTTCCCAGCAAACAATGCAACATACAGCCTGGGTCGGAAACTCCCAGAATTACTGAGGGGAGAAGAGGGGGTTTTCCAGTGACCTGTCCTTTAGGGTTTAAAAGCGCATTCCCGGGAGCGACTCTCATTCTCTATGAAGTTGTGAGCTACGAGAGCCCAGCGACTCCCTGAACCCAGGCAGCCTGTGAGTAACTTTGCGCGGCCAGGAAGCGGGGAAGGGCTGCTTGGGCATGTTGCTGGCTAGGGACAGAGTGTGGCTGACAGCCCCTGACAACTGAGACCTGGCTGCAGGCGGCCACCGCGGCGGCCGGACTCCTGCACTGAGACTCTGGGTCTGGGGATCGAAAGCCGGCGTCGTGAACGGCTCCTCCCCGCCTGCCCCGGGTTGTAAGCCCAGGTGCCAATGGCTCTGGGCCACCGAGCTCAGCGCGGGTAGTGGCTGACCATGGGAGAGGCCATGCTCCCGGCCGGTCCAAAGTGCAAGGCCGGGCTATTCCCGGACATGCGGGGGCGGGTGGCGCGTCCCGGAGTGTCCCAGAGTCCCCGACGCAATAGGCGCTGTTACTTGCGCGCACGGAGAGCAGCGCTTACCATGGAACATGGTCTGCGGGAGGTGGATGTAGTCATGATGATTGGGGCTGCAGCAGGAGCGAGCTCTCACCACCCATAATGACGCCCGGGTCCCCGGTCATCCGCCGAGTGGCCGCACGCCGGTGCTGGGCAGGGCAGTCCGGGCAGCTGGCTCCTCTCATCCACGCGGCGCCTAGTCCATCCATCCCAGGAGGGGCCGCATGCATCACTGGCTGGCCAGGCGCTCTGGCTTTGCCATAACTTCCGTAGACTCTGCCGGCAGAGTAGGCAGGGTACTTTCAGTTTCTGCTTTGCGCTGGGTCTTCAGGTTCAATGTTTGGGTTTATACTCTTAGCGTCTTCCCCATGCACCTGGACCAGGATCTGTGGTCGCTGCAAATTTCGAAAGTACCTCAGCAGAAGCCAGCTGGCCTTCTGGATCAGAGAGATTCGGCTAAACAGCTTTCCAAATGACTTGTAACCGCTTTGGCAACTCTGAGAGACTGGGAGCTAAAAACCACCGGTTAATAATATGTCCACAGAAGCCACAATTGTGCAGCAGTGCGAAGGCTCTCTATTGCAAGTCAGTTCCACTGAGGAGGCGTCGCTCGCTGCTTCTGCCGCCCGATGGGGCGGACGTTGCCAAGTCATCTTTAAAAAAAAAAAAAAAAGGAAGTGAAGAATGATTAAGAGGGTCACGCCCTCTGCCCCTCCAAGCTCTCTAGCTAGTTTTCTTTCCTTCCTATCTTCTGTGCAATGCACCTGCTCAGGTGGGACTTTAAGAAAAAATAATTCTTGTGAGCCCACTTAGTCTAGTAGGTAAGTGGTAGCTTCAGAAAACTAAAACTCATTAGTCAGGGGACGAGAAATTGCTCATAGTAATTGCTAACTAAATCCCACGGGTGCGTTTACCTGACATGATTAATAAACTATCCCGATTGCTTCATTGAAAAAAAAATTTTTTTTAGTAGGCCTGAATTACCAAGGTGATTGCTGATTTAGTGCTGTTTCTCATAATCAGGTGAAAGTGAACAGTGCCAATAACGAGAGAGATCGTGTTAGTGGTTACCAGTTATCTAGCATCTGCTCCAAACCAGTACTGTGGTGAGCATTTTACATGGATTGTGGCATCCGAAGCTCTCTGTGAGGCATACCATTTTCTTATCTGCAATTCAGAGACAGATGTGGGAACAGAGGCTTTCTTGACTAACAGAGCTAAGTCCACACAGTTGGCCTAATTAGGACAAAACCCTCCAGCAGTCTGGCTTCAAAGTCTCTGCTTAGCATCCCCCGTGTAAGAAAAACCTCTGAATCCTGCAGTGTAGACCTGGAGACTAGAAGGAAGGTGCCTGGGGGCCGGGGTGTGCCCCTAATCCTCTGGGGGAGTTTCAGAAGGGTTTCTGGAGTTTGCGGCTCCTAAGCTGACATCTGAACAGAATCCGACTTGGGGATGGTATGGAGAAGCTTCCGTGTCTGTTGTGGTGTAACAATGAAAAGAAGCAGAAGGGAAGGAGTGAGAAAAAGGAGTGTTAACAATGAAACGAAGCTGGGAGGGGGGAGGCAGGGGCAGGGGCGGCTGTGTGTTAGAGCGTGAAACAAAGAGGTTCAAACTGGGCACTTGGCTGTGGATTCTGCTGTTCCTCTGACTTTCCACATTCAATCTACAAACCCGCCAGAGCTCTTCCGAATAAACGTTGCCAGGTGACGACAGAGGCTGATTAAAAAGATTTCCATTATCTCTCTGGCCTACAACAACTCTTTCATCCTTATCAAAACATCTGGGTATTTGATTGCACTTGCTTTTTTAATAACCTAATATTTTATTGATTATTTGGAAATTTCACATAATGCACCCTGATCATTCCTCCTTGTCACTGCGCTCTGCTTCCGCGTTCCTGCACGAGCTGGGCCCTTGTTGTTCTCCTGGGACCTGACTCATCTTCATCGCCGCGCCGGCCTTTCCTCCCTGTTCCCAGACAGCTTCCCTCCACCGAGAACTTTTACCTAGTATGTGATTAGGATCCAGTATTGCTGCGTGACAGGTTGGGAGAAAACTATGATGGTGAGAAAGTGCTTCAAGGAAGGAATGTGAAACAATGTCCACAAAAGCAGGAAGAAAAATCAAGGAAAGAGAAAGAAAACGGGAGAGGGGGCAAATGAAATCAGGAAACCAAACAGTGGGAAAAATTGTGTACTTCCAAAAGTGTCCCTGAAACTTGGATGTGGGGATAGGAAGTAGAAAGAGATGGGCTGCTGTGACTGTTAAAGATTAATTCTATAAACATGCCTAGGTCTGTGATAACAATATGGAACTCCCTGGCCTTGAAGATGAAGTAGTAACTAGCTGCTCATGTTCTGTGCTTTCTTTTCCCCCTTCTGTTTTTGGGCTTTTCAAGGGGGTGTTGAGTCAAAGAACGTCTATCAGCAATGCGCAAAAGGGGAAATCCGTTTTCCTTCCTGGTGCAAACACTGTGTAAAGGCTGACAGAATGAGGCTTGTGCATAGGCAAAATCTGAGGAAAATGAGGGGAAAGTATCTAGAGTTACAGGAAAGAAGAAGTACATTTCTTATAGGACCGTATCTATCCCCAATTCTTAGGAATGTCTTCTGAAGAAATCATTTAGGAAGCATTTGGAATTTTAAAGGTTATTTGAAAATGAACACCTTTGAACTACATCATATTATGAGAGGATTCTGAGAAAATTCGTGTCATTTTCAAAGAATCAATACAGCTTTTTAAATTAGTTGTTTGCTTTTTAATATAGATTGAACATACATATTGACAAAGATAAATGTTTTATAAAGTTTTAGAATGCTGATGATTAAATAAATGAAGTAGTAAGCCAGGCCTGGTGGTGTAGACCTGTAAACCTAGCTACTCAAGAGTCAGAAGCAGGAGAATTAAAATGTCAGTTCCTGCTTTGTCAGATTAGTGAGACCATGTCTTTAAACATAACAGAGTAAGAAGAGGACTGGGGATATAGCTCAAATGTTGAGAGTTTGCTTAATTTGTATGAACCCCTAGTTCCATCCCTAATATCACAAAGAAGAAGGAGAAGAAGGAGAAGGAGGAGGAGGAGGAGGAGGAGGAGGAGGAGGAGGAGGAGGAGGAGGAGGAGAAGAAGAAGAAGAAGAAGAAGAAGAAGAAGAAGAAGAAGAAGAAGAAGAAGAAGAAGAAGTTGTTTATGGCAAAGTTACAAAAATGGTTAATACTGTGTAATAGGAAATACTAAAATAAATGATAGGGTGATGCTGACTTAAGAAAGAAAATTATTAGGGTTAACCAATGTCCTTCTAACTCTCTACACTTTACAATTATTAAACAAAGCAGTCAATCATTAATCTCTCTGTTGTCCATGCCTGCCTTGAAATGGTCCTCTTTATTTAAGCCTCCTGACTATTGAGAGGTTCTATGTGCATACCAACATCCATGATGAAAAATTACTTTCTTGACTAATTATCTATACTCATTTTGCCTGATTAAATAGGACATCTTTCTATCTATCTATCTATCTATCTATCTATCTATCTATCTATCTATCTATGCACTCTGAGTTCTAAAGTCTGTTGTATTGTGAATTGACATTTGCTGGAGTCTCTATGATTTAATATTCAAGGCAAAAGTATTAAAATAATAAATATTTCAAACACACACACATTATAGAAGTGTGAGCAGCATAACCGTCCAGGACCTATGGTTTGAGAGATCCATTCTTGGTCTACTGTTATGGCCATGGATATTTTAAATTATAGACAAGGAGACTCTTCACTTTTCCTTGGGCTTCATGAATTCAGTAGCTGAGCTGACTATGCTAGTATGAATAGCAATGCATGCTTTTAAAGTGATTTTATATGAGAGGAAAAAATGATGCTAAATGTCTCATTTAAAAATTCAATGTGTTATGAGAAGAAAAATGAGACACTATTTTAACTAGAGATTAAAGGGACTCTAAGCCCATTTTATTGTAAAATAAGTGTACAAGAAGATTAATCCACCCTTTCAGGAAAGAAATCTAGAATAATCTCCTGACCTATAATTCTAAATCAGATATAAGTTTCAAGTATTTTCACAGAATGAATTTTGGACATTAGCAAATGGTAATTGAGCATCTATTTATGTGTCATGGTTTCTTCTTGTTACATTCCTGAATAAACCATAATTTGACTATGATACTACTTTTGAATTTACTAATCTTCAGCTTGGAATTTCTAATTATACCCATAACCAGGACACATTTGTTCTTCATATCACTTGTGAGATTCAGCTAATTTTATCAGATTTTACTAATAACACAAAAGGAACTGAGAGCTGTGTTTTCTAAAACTTTGTAAAAAATGTCCCATGAAACTATTCATTTTTGGAGAAGACATACTTGAGTTCAAGAATAAAGCATATTTAGTTGCATGGAATGAAGTGCAAGATTAGGGTGAGACTGACTCTCTGTTTTGGCCACCACGAGACTGAAAAATAAAAGTTTGTTCTGAAGGTTCAGTTAGAAATTAGGAACTCTGCTGTTGAGACGTAAATGTAGCACATCAGGGACAGTTAGAGCCATGGAAAACAATAAAGTTAATGAGCGTAAGTGCCAAAAGAATGAAGGTATAATGCATATGGGAAAAGACCTTGTGCCACAGAGTAAATGGAGCAATAAAATGTGCTCACCAACAAAGCCAACACAATGACAGCAAAGTAGGAAGAAAGTCAGCACTCCATATAGCAAAGAAGGATTCATTTTCAAAGTAGTAATTAGTATTTTCAAAACCCACAAAGAGTGTGAGAAAGAGGACGACTGAAGCGTGTGCCCCTTTGGCTTGCTTAGTCCTGAAGACAACTGCACAAATGGAGTAGTGTAGGTATACCAATAGGGCATGGAAATGAAGGAATATAGTGGAGGAGAATTTCCAGAGATGTTTGCTCATGATGAAAGGCGTGGCCCCAGGTTTCACAAACATCACAGGCATAATGGAAGTTTTTGAGAAGTGTTGAGGCATATTTGCATATTAAATGGCAAAATTAGTTTCTAAAATAGTGGGGGGAATGGAATCAAGAAGCTAAAATTGCCTGATACATTTTCTTATCCTCTCTGAGATTAATTTCAGCCTTTTATAATAACCAGAACCTGCTACGTATCAATAATTTTATGGCACTTTAAAATGTCCCCTGCACAATCACTTATACACTGCAGGCATAAGTATGTTTGGTCCAGTATTGCTCATGTTACCTTTTGGAAAGCGCAGCTGTGGAGTAGGAAGTTTGCTTTGCTTGGTTCTTTTGTGTGCTAATGAGTATGTGGTTGGCAGCTGGAACTTTTTAAATATATGTTAGATCTGGGAAGGGACTGTACCTTAAATCTCTGCCTTTATAGAAGACCAGTCAATGAAAGTGTGCCTAAAACAATTTTTTCATGAAAAGAGCTTGAAGAAAATGGGAAATGTTTTGGTTAAATCCCTTAGTGGCTTCTTTCTGTGCTCTCCAGTTGCTATTTGAAGATACTGAGTTGTTGTGCACTCTTGGACAGAAGTAAATGTCCCAGTCAGTCTAGAATTCTATGTTGTCAATAGAGTGCCTTC